AGCAGAGCTTGAAGTCGACTCAAGATTTTTGTCGATTTTGTATGGTGGAGTCGACTTCGAGCTCTAGGTTCTAGGGCTACCTGGGGCATCTACCTTAGGCACACCAAAATTGTATTTATCCCTCAAAGAGTTGCTTATAGATTTTTAAATCCTAGGTAAAAGTAGCCCTACAAGCAGCCACTTGCAATGACATAAGACTAATATCCTGCACTTGACATACATAAATTTCCCATCAAATCAATAAGATTCCTTCACAGTTCATCTTTCCTTCTGAATCACACAAAAAATAATTTTAACTTCTTCATTTCAGAACACTCCTCCTTTGCAATTAAGACAGAAATTTCCGTCCGACATTCTTAACACTAAAAGAAACTACTTAATTATACTTAATTAAAGAAAGGTGGTGAAATTTTTTTAAAAGCTTTCCTTGCAGCTATGGAATTTAAAGTTAAGTGAAGTTCTTTCTTTTTGCGCACTCGGTGATTTAGTTCTTATGGAGATGAAAGGTTTCTTGACAGAGTTGGTGGATATGTGAACTAAAATATTTAATACTTAGGGATTATGATTCAAAATTAGAGTTTTGGGTAGGGTTGGGCAGAATCGTATTCGAATATATTCGAATATAATGTGCGCACATAAATGTGCGCATATATTCGAATATATATTCGAATATGCATAATTCAAAAAATAACCGTTATTAATCGTAATTTTTTTTTAATAAATGTTTAACAATTAATTAAATAACTTACAACTAAAATATCGATGTAGTTGGCTAAAGAAAGTACTTCCATTGCTTTTCCATTAAAATTAGATCTATTTTAGTAATTGTTTAACATGATTTTTTTCAATTGAAAAAATTGAGTGCCTATTAAAATAACGAATTTTAAAATTTCGAAACTTCATTTTTACGAACTCACATTTTTACGACCATATCATTTTTACGAAAAATTATTTTTTCGACTTTTTTATAAATTTCAAATTCTAAAATGTCGTTAATTTCATCACGTGTTCTCTTCAATAATAAATCTGCCAAAAAAAGATTAATAGAACAAATGTTTTTAAATGTATAGAATTAAAACGTATTTTTTATTCGTTACAATTACAATTAAGCTTTTAAATCATTTTTGACTACTTGCCTTTATTAAGATTAATAGCCTTTAATCTTTCAACTCGTGGCACGGATTGTCGACGGTTCAGGATTGATTTAATGGAATTCTCTGTCTTTTAAAACCCTGGCATTCTATACTTTTGTGGCTTTCCAGCCAAATATTTGTCGATATCCATTTCGATGGACACAAATTCTTTCCATTGAAACATTAAAGGCTATTGCAGTAGTCAAAAATGATTTAGAGCTTAATTGTGTTTATTGCTCCTTTCAACATACACATGTAGTCCATAAAATGTGATATTGAAAAAAAAATACGTTTTAATTCCATACATTTAAAAACATTTGTTCTATTAATCTTTTTTTTGCAGATTTATTATTGAAGAGAACACGTGATGAAATTAACGACATTTCAAAATTTAAAATTTATAAAGAAAGTCGAAAAAATAATTTTTCGTAAAAATGATATGATCGTAAAAATGAAGTGTTCGTAAAAATGAAGTTTCGAAATTTTAAAATTCGTTATTTTAATAGGCACTCGAAAAAATTTGATATCAAAGAATATATGAAGTCGCCTTTTAAAAAATTTTAACGGACAATTAACATTTGAAAATTTTCCCGCTAAAAGTTGCACTACGAAAACATTAGTTATAGTATAATTACATAATTTGTTCCAATGAATTTCCATATAGAAAAAGTTTTTCATTTAACGGTCTTTTGAGATTCAAATTTTCTAACAGTCAGTAAGTTTTTGAAAGCTTTTCGCCAAAGGATACACAAAAAATCATTAATTATAGCATATTTAACAATTTAATATCTTTAATTCTCATATATGAATTGTTTATCATTTACAAATTACAGGCAAGTTGAAAAATGCTAATCAACAAATAACGTATTTTTTCATTTTTGAATTTCTAATATTCGAATATATATTCGAATATATTCGAATATTTTTTTGTTCATATTCGAATATATTCGAAAATATTCGAATATTTGCCCAACCCTAGTTTTGGGGCCAATTCAATCGTCTGTCAGTGTGGCTTCTGATAGTTTCTTTGGAGAATCGAAAAGTTATAAATGTCATGACTTGTCCCGAATAGTACAAGTTGGTTGATTGAATATAAATCTGGCATCCAATCAGCATAATTCTGGCATGGTGCTTGCTTCGATTTAAATCCAGCACTATTCCAGAATCACACGGGTTTGCCGGATTTCTGATTGATTAACCGATTTGTGCCAATCGGGTGTGCTTGTGTCGATTACTTGAGAGCTCCCTAGGCATGGATACAAATATCCTAGTATGACTGTTATATGCAAGGATCTGGAACCCAGATATTTTGGGAAAATAATTTCAGCCAATTGACGCTTAATTGAGTCTCAAACCTTGAGTTTTTCTTTGGCAGTTAAACATTCTTCAAATGCCTGAAAACTGACCAAAATTCAACCGGATCTCCAATTCTGAATTTTAAAAATATGCACTCAAAGATGTGCGGCTTCTACTTAAAGTCAGATGCTGAAAACAAATGTATCTAACGCTAAAAAGTAAAAGAGCAATAAATAGGAGGTGTAGAGAACGCGAAATATCATAAAGAACTGAAAATAATAAGAGGAGTGAGGAATTCTTTGTCTTCATACCATAAAATAAAGAAAGAAAAAAACTTGGTAAAATGCGAAGCTAAGAATCGGGCATGCAATATACCATAGAATCAGAAAGGGGATAATTTAAGCATTTAGCACCCATGAAATACTTCCGCATATTGTAAATTGATGCTTTTATATATCATTCAACTTCTATTGCCGTTACTAATGCATTGAATTGTGAATTTTGCTCCAAGGATGATTGGGAATTGAAACATTATTCCCAATAATTGAATCATTTCCTTGTTGTTGCTCATACTTCTTACCTCAAATTGCACTAATTATGAGCATTATTAAAATGAAATTTATTTTTATTACAATTTATGGATAGATTGAGTTAGAAAGAATGCGAATTTTATTGGAGAATTTATTTTTTATTAGAATTCTTTAATGATGTGCTTAAAATAACAAAGAAATGAACTGTTTTGCTGTAAAATAATGAAATATTTTGTAGACTTGACTAATAATAATTATAAAGTTATAGCTTTTTGATAGAATATCTTCCTTGTATGAGCTGTTCAGAGCTATTGTTGGTCAATATTAAGTTGTACTATGTTTAAAGGGCTAGTTCATTTGTCTCCTCAGGTATTCTTATCTCCAGAATCAACAATCTGATGACTACAATCTAAGGTTTAATAATAAATTGACTGTGATCAAGGCTGGAAACCACGTCGAGCCCTATAAATAAGCTGTTCAATTGTGCACTCTTGAGCGGAACCGTCTCGCTTTTTTGAACAAATTTCTGCCTTAATTCCTTAATGTCCTGGTTTTTTGAACTTATTTTTCTTGGAAAATTCTTAAAAATTTGATCTATCCTGGTTTTTGAGAGCTAAAATTAGGAAATGTCCTGTTTAATGACCAAAAATCGACAAAAACCGATAGACAGCTTACCTTTTAACCAACTCAGGGTTGACTAAATGTTAATCTGTGTCACAAATTCTTCATCACATCTTCTAGGACCATCTGTGTTAACAGAACTACTCACTGCTTAAGGATACATTTTTCTAGGCGAGTTAAAATCATTTTTTGTCCAATTTTCGATTTATTTGTCTATTTTAAGTCAACTTAGCTTACAATAAATCGCAACATTTGGTTACATTTTATGCTGATATCTTACATAAAAAACTACTCCAATTTTATTCATGCATAAATCATACAATTTTCATAAATGTTCACTCATTGTAATGTTTTATCAGTAAAAGTTCATGATAACTTGCTGTGAGCGATGATGAAAAATTTTTTAAAGCTAAACATGAGTGCATATGTCTGTGATTTAAGCACATTGCATAGTGCTCGTAATGATTATCCATAATCGATTACACCTATTCGCATAACTGTTTTTTTTTGTTCCCGCGGGGCTATTTTATATTTTTTATGTGAGCGATTTAATTACATTAATGTGACTTAATATTTTTTTTATTGAACCACCCAAACCTATATCAAGCTTGTTCGACTTCTCACATTCACGTCTGCAATATGCAATTAAATAATTTTCAATCTTTACAATCTTGAGCTTTTCGCATGTGCATTAAAATTTATTAATTAATTTAAGAGTGAAAATTCCTCGATACGTAAATATCAATTAGGAATATTGCAGCAATGTTTATTTTTTTATTGGCACACGAATTGGGTCAATTGGAAATGTGAATTATTGCGAAAATGAGAGTAAATAGAAAATAATTTTTAATAGATTGTGCGGACTTAATGAATTTGTAAATAATTTTTATTCAAATTAAATGAGTAAAATTCTGCAAGTTGTATGACTCAAGTCTTAGTTGAGACTTTATGCGAATTTTTAATAAGAAATTAAAAGAGATCGTGACTTAAAATTTGTAGATATTCAAAGATATAAATATGACTTAAAAAATATATTTTAGATGTTGTAAGAGAAGTTGCTGATTTACATTTATCTAAACAAAATGAATTGTTAAGGGTCCATTCACTTATGACGTCCAAGGGGGGGAGGTCAGCAAGAAAAGAACAATTGAAATTCCATTGTTCTTTTTTGAAAAATGACCGTTAACATCAGACGTCATAAGTGAATGAACCCTAAGATCAAATAAATCAAAAATGTCTCAAAACAATGATTCTCAATGGCGAACAAATTGAAAGCGTTAACGGCTGTAAATAAGGACTATAAAGATTACTTTTATAATATCTTCTCTTCCTGCTTTTTTAGCATTTTAACTTTTTTTTTCAAATAATAAAAAACTTTAAAAATCATTTTGAATTTCTTGAACTTTTCAACTATAACTCTTTACTTTTGTAAATCAATAACTCGACTTAACTTCCAATTTCTGAACTTATCAAAAGAAATTTCCATCACAAAAATTATAATCGCCAAAATTATTCCAGTGCAGAGAATCAACAAAGGCAAATATAAAGCTTCTAAAATGATTACATTTTTCTGTTCATTTCTAAAATGTTGTTTTGGAAAAGTTTCTCGAGTTGTTAACTTAGTCCAATAGTCTAGAATTCCTGACTCTTGTAGAGAATTCATAAATGACTTGAATTCATGCTTAAGCGGATAATTTTCATGAATGAGATATGAAGAATATGATTTGTCAACATATCCATCAAAAACATCGAAAATCTGACGATTTTTATGAAAATTCTTATCAGAAGTTACAAATTCTTCAGCAAATTTGCATCGAACAGCATAAGCAAGGTCATGATTTACATGTTCTGGCAATTTTGAAAGTGCAGATGATCCAACTAGCATTGGAACATGATTAAGTACTTTATTTTCGGGGAATAAAGGAATTTCTTTATAGTATTCATAAATCATAGTATTTGAAGATATTAATTCTTCAATAGATGTAATTGATCTCATTGGCTGCTCAATTATAGATGTGGATATAATGAATGACTTGAAAATATCCATTAAAATGAAACAAATAATAAGAAATGGAATTAATAGCAATCTTTCTCCAAATGACCATTTATTGATTTCTCGATCGTCAATTGAATATCCAATCATAATTTTGAATAGTGACACAGTAAGGCACAAGATACCAGTATTTTGTTTATGTACAATCCGAAATGATTTCCATAAAATTCCGATTATTAAAAAAGAAATGCTTAAAATTAAGAGAACATATTTGTCATAAGGAATTGAGATTATGTGTGAATATGTTGGAATGTTTCGAGGAACTAGAAGACATTGAGATGCACCAAAATCATTAATGTGAATGTAATCAAAGAAATAATCGTTAATATAAGAAAATCTTCGGTTTAAAGAAATTTCAAAAAAACTTTGTTGATTGAAAGGAGCAAATGCGTCATTAGTGATTCTATATGTAAGATTATTACGGATACAAAAGTTGTTTAAAACATTTCCTTCAACACCAATAATTCTATTGTCATTACTTCGATATGAATAAGGATGTGTATCATAATAAACTACCTTGAAGACACTATCAATAAGCTCACTTTTTAAACTATAGTTTGCTTCCTTAAAGATGAATTTTGTAAAAGTTGATGAATATTTAATAAATTTAATTCCGTTCTCAAAAACATCTATTAATAATGCATTAACTATTGCTGAATTGCTATAAATGCTGTAAACTTGTCGGAGATTTTGCTGTTTTTGAGACTTTATGTATTTATCCATTTGCTTGAATTGTGTGATGAAAATTAATTTTGTTGACTTTTTAAGTCTGAATTTTGATGCCATAACTTTTTTCGATTGCTTGTCCTTTTGTAAAATTAATAAATGGATTTAAAGGATCCTTTAATGATTAAATTACTTACATTTTCTGTAAAATCTTCAATCAACATAAAATAGTCAGGATTCAATAGTCAATTCTTAAATATCATCCACTTGAAGCTACTGATGACAACTCTACTGTCCTGCTTTTGTAGCTCTCTTATTATACAACTCGTATCTAGCTGTTTTGCATAATCAGCAACAGCAACATAAACAATTCCATTACGTATAATTTTATTCCTCGTAATTACAGTTTTTAAATAATTTGCCACATTTTTACACTCGTTGAAGGATGGACGTGCGTAAATCGATTCTAATTCTGTTGCCATTTGTGTATCACATAAATATAAACTTGTTAAAATTAAAAGAACCAATTTTATTGAAATTTTCATTCTTTTTGATGTTTAAAACCTCTAAACTTAAACTATTTGAATGACAATATTGAGTCCACTGGCTTCTCTTTTTATTCTAAAATGTTATTGCTAAAATCAGCTATACAGTACACAGTATATTTAAGTTCTAATCTGCAATCATAATGGAACTTATAATTTCTGGTTCGCTAGGCGATCCTACAATGTAATTATTCATTATTTTTACAGTATATTCTCTCTCTTTTCAACACCTTAGTGTCCTTTTTCGAAAAATTAATAATTTTACAATTTTTTTTAAATTTTTCCTTCTTCTTTCGTTCCTGCCTCAAATCAATAACGCGACTTAATTTCCATTCTATGTACTTGAAATAAATTATTTCAATTATAAACACAAGAATGCTCACAATTATTCCTACACCAAGAATAATGAGTGGGAGATACAAAGCTTCTAAAGCGACACGAAATTGCTTATCGCGTTCTACATGTTTAGGGAATGATTTTTTGACTGTTATAGTAATCCAATGATTTAAAATTCCAGACTCAATTAAGGAATCAATAAATTTAAAGAATACGTTTTTATAAGGCACACCTTCATGGATGAGATAGTTTCCATTAGTTTTTTCAATATTTTTATCAAAAACATCAAATAATTGTTGATTACCATCAAAATTATTTTCTGAGTCAATAAATACTTCAGCAAATTTACATCGCACGACATATGCTAGATCTCTGTCAACATGTTCTGGTAATATTGAAAGTGCTGATGATGCTGACACGATTGGAATCTGATTAAGAACTTTATTATGTGGAAATAAATCAACTTCCTTATAATACTCGTATAGTTTTGTGTCTGATGAACTCAATTCCTCTAATGACTGAATTGATCTCATTGGCTGCTCAACAATTGATGTGGAAATAACGAATGACTTGAAAATGTCCATAAGAATGAAACAAATCATAATGAATGGAATTAAAAGAAACTTTTCCTTTAGTGACCATTTGTAGAGTTCTCGATCATTAACTGGATAACCAACCATAAGTTTCGAAAGCATTATTGCAAGTTTGAAGAATTTCATGTTTTCCTTTTGTAGGATTCGAATTCCTTTCCATATTAGAACAGTCATTAAAATAGACGTAAGAAATAAAAAATTTACAAACTTATCAAAAGGATTTGGAACAAGATGGGAAAATACAGGGATATTGCGAGGAACCAGGAAACATTGCGATGTTCCTTTGTCTAAAAATTCTATATTTACATAGCTATTAAAGGAGGAACTGGAACCATGTCGTCTTGACAAGCTGATATCAAACATGCTTAGTATATTCATGTCATCTGATTGCTTGTTACTTAATTTATAACTAAAATTGTAACGACTACAAAATTCATCAATAAAATTTCCTTCAACACCTATAATATTACTGTCATTACTACGATATGAGTAAGGTGGAGTGTCATAGTAAAGGATGTTTAATGTTCTATGAACTAATTCAATATCTAAATTATAGTCAGCGTTTGTTATATCTACTTCGGATATTGTTTTAAATAGTTTATATTCCTCTAAATTATTATTTATTACATTTAATATTAATGCAGCTATGTATGCTCGACCGTCGAATGTTTTAACTACATACAAGAAGTTGCGATTCTTCTGACGTTTTTCATAATTTTCATCGCTCATAAAGTTTGTAATAAAGATGAACTTTGTGAATGATTTAATATTAAATCCTTTTATTCTTGGCTTGTTGACTAGCCCCGCCTAGATAGAATCGAGAAATGATTGATTTTCAGCTTAACAATAGTGAAAAAATGTGAAAACTTACATTATCAGTATAATCCTCAATCAGAATAAAGTAATCAGGATCTAATGTTTGATATCTAAACTTGATTCTTGTGAATCTGTCAATCACTATTCTGTCATCCTGTTCTTGGAGCTTTCTTGTCAAACAACTTGTGTCGAGTTGTTTAGAATAATCAGCAATAGCTATATTTACGGTTTTATAACGAAACACATTGTTATGTCTAAACACATTGTTAAGAAAGTTCACCATCTTTTCACATTGTGTAGCTTCAACTATAGATTGAACTGGGAGTAACTCTTTAGAATTAACATTGATTTGACTATCACAAAGCTGAACGTAAACATAAATTAAGGGACTCAATCTAAAGAAAATTCGAAACATTTGCTCGATTTTAAGATTTAATGGCTTATTTAATTTTATAATGCTACCCAAAGGTCTTTATTAGACAGTTTGAAGACTATTCGCATGTGTACTGTCCTTTTATTTCAAATTTCGATTAATAATAGGAATAAATATTCTGATGGAGTTTGATATAAAATGCATTAATGATAAATATAGAGAGTCCTGCATTGTGGACAATAATTAAATCATAAAATACATTTCGCCACCTTAATTACGCTTACTCGCATAAAAACTATATCACTATGATAAAGTCACAACGTAGCAAACTTTAACAAAAATGACAACCTAATATTGATCTTCCCAACATACACATAGGGGCCTTTCACTTATGACGTCCAGGGGGGGGGGGGTCAGCAAGAAAAGAACAATAGAAATTCCAGGAAATCCATTGTTCTTTTTTGAAAAATGACCGTTAATTTCAGACGTCATAAGTGAACGACCCCAAAGCTACAAATTGAAATTAAAAAATGTTCATTTAATTCAAACATATTAAAATTAACTTTGCCTTTAAAAAAAACCAACTTTTCTTCCAATTTCTTTCGTTGTCTTTTTTTTTTGTTCAATATGAAATTAATCGAACATTGGAAGCATTGTTGATTGTTAATTGAGGCATACAAGATTCCCAAAAACAAATCGCTAACAGCGAGGTATCATCATGAGCACCAATTTATTTCTTTTTTCGTGCATTAATTGCTACGTGTTCTTTTCATTGCCTTTCAACGTAAAGATGAAATTCCAGTTACTGAATGTATGTGAGGCATGGAAACATATCATTCGCGAAAAATATAATTAAGTGATGCTCAATTGCTGGAATTGAAATTTATAGCTTAACATTTTGCTTACTGCTAGAAGATTAATGTAAAGAAAGTTTGGTGACGTTCGGGAGGAATTTTAATGACTTTTCGTGAACAAAATGATTTTATTTCATGGTGGACATAAGAAAGATTGATGAATATGGAGATTAAGGCTGTAAAGTTTGTAATCGTTAATCGTTGCATTGCAATTTTTAATCATTGAGCGATGTTATGTAATATGACCATGTTGTGGATTCATTTGAGATGAAAAGATTTGTTCGCAAAATTGTTTACAGATTTGAGACTTGCAAATGGCAACAAAGGAGTGATTTGATTGCTAAAATGAAGCATAAAGTCTCCTAGTCAAAGTTATAGTTAGAAATTTTATCAAGAAATTTTTTTAAGTCACCTCTTCTTATAAGTTTCCAGGGGCGTAGCCAGAAAATTTTTAAGAGGGGGGCCCATTTTCGAAAATTAAAAAAACCGTTATTTTGTATCCTTAAATCTATATTCATTCTTCATAAGTTTAAATATTTAATTCATTATTCATACATTAAATTGAATTATTCGTGCTGATTTTGACATTTCTTTCATCACTTCCTCTACATTAACTGGTTCTTTTCTATAAATACTTAATAAAACAAATATCAGATTTTCGTAGGGGGGGCCCGGGCTCCCTATGCCCCCCCCCCCCCTGGCTACGCCCCTGTAAGAATCACTTCCAGAGAACAACAGTAGTCGCTAAACCTCTAAAATATCATTTTAAGGAGTCTACAAAGTTTTCTTGTGTTACAAATTTCCTTATTAAAGCAATAATCGATTAAAGTTTCTGAAAAAAATGTTTCTCTACAATAACAATAAATGTTGAGGACGCCAAAAGTTTCTGAAGCAAGTTCTGCATAAATAGTGAAGCCAAACTCTTTCAAATCATCATTCAGCATTAGGAATTTCATCTGACAATATCAGAAAAGTTTCTAATGCAAAAATGAATGATCAGAAATTTTGAGTTAAAAAATTCTTAAATTTAAAAGGTTTTTTAATTCAAAATTTCATTCTTCTTTGATCTGTATTATTTCAAATATTGATCGAAATATTAAAAATGACACAAATTTTATTATTTTTCAATTATAATTTATATTAAATTTCTTCTTTGAGAAAAAAAAATTATTCAAAAAATTGCTGTAAAATAGAAGCTCTTATATACTAAGAACTAAAAAATACTGTAATAAGAAGACTTGTGGACTTGCCCCTTAGTTACTCTTATAAGACTTATTCTTTATTGTTCTAATATTCGAAGTGAACTCCCCCCAGTTTCATAATGATTTTGACTTATATACGAAATTTTAATAATGATAAGAAAATCTGGTTTGAGAATGCAGATAAGATTATGAACATATGAATAAGTATTCATATGTGTCATATGTAGCTGATAATGTAAAGGATAAATAAGACTCTAATTTTGTTTAATATGTAAGTTATAGTCTATGAAATAATGAATGTTTATTGTAAAAAAACTCTTCTTTTTATATAAGAATAATTATGATGAAAATTATGACATTGAAGGTAAGAAAGTTCTGCATGCGTTTTTATGATAGGTAAGCAGTTTATGATAGTGAAGGTAAGAAGTGCTGAATGGTGATTAATTATTTATTATTGTTGTGTTTCCCAGAATGAAGGAATGGTGACCACGTGTTGCGTGTGTTGCATTACTTTATGATGGTTTGTGGAAAGTTGTGCCATATGGTGATATAACTTATTTATCCTTGTCACTAATGGATATTATAATACTAATTATAAAAATTTACTCACCATTTTGGTTTCTTTTACCAGTAGAGGAATAAATAAGACTTCAATATAAATTCTGTTTAAACACTCTTTATTTTACGACTGATCCCGAAGGATCGAGATTTTTGTCATTATATACTAAAATGCAAACATTGTAACAATTTACCTTTTAGTCTCTATAAATAATGCTGCTCCTAAATGATTGAATAAATGAATGACAATCATTGGAGAGTGAAAATCAGGAGAATAAAGGAAGGGTTTTGATGACATGATTTGTTTTAAAGTATTAACAGAATGTATTATTTGTACATTTCTATAATGGTTAATTAAAATTAAAATTTTTAAAAATCTCTCAATAAATTTATTTTCTCTAATAACACGAAATAATAATTTTTTTACATTTCTTTTCAATTACATTAAATTTCAGAATCAAAGACAACAACTCTAAATAATATCGAACAAAAATTCAGTAGTTGCTTATATTGCTGTATACCCTTTGATGAAGACAAATGATATGTTTCTGTTCTACTCATTAATATTTGCTCATCTTAATTTCTCCTTTTAATGCGAATCAAGCCCAATCGTATTATTTTCCTTTAAACTCACATTTATTACGTTTTTGTACTTTATAAGCAGCTTCATACACAATCATATCAATCCAATACAGTGGCGTAGAACGTAATTGCATCAATTTATCATGATTGCAATTTTTATTTGCAAAAGATATTCTCTTTTATTGAAATTCATTTGAATTTATCATCTTTGACCCACCGCTGATTTTTGGGCTGTTTAAAATATTTCTCGTCGGTGAGTGAGTGTATCGTGGTGGGCAATTTTGATTCTCGACAAAAAAAAAAGGCAATTTAAATGCTTCAGCAAATAATTTTATTTTTGTTTTATTTCATTCCTTTCCAAAAGGTACACAAAAACACCTTTTTGTTATATTGGACAAAGATTTATCTTTATTACTTTTACATGATCAACCTTTCTGTTTTTGAGCTTTTTGGGGTATGAGAAATGTATTGGTAGAGATTTTTGAGTTGGGTTTGAGATTTTAGCTCATTTATCATCTAAATTTAGCACTTTATGGATTATTGGAACTCATAAGAATGATCCTGAGAAATTTTTTCGATTTGATAACTTTTTGTGTCTAATTGTGGCTTATTCTAAGACTTAGTTTGCTACAACATTGCAAAAATTAGACGGAAACACCAGAGGCGTAGCCAGAAATTTGAAGAGGGAGGGAAAAATTTTTTTTTGTGTGGAAAACTTTAAGAGGGGGGGGGGGTAATTTTTTCATGTTTTTCATTAAAAATGAGAAATTTCTCAAGACGAAGGGGGATTTGTCGCCCAAGTCCACCCCTGCGAAATACACAAAGCAATGACTAAAGCTAGTTCATCTATTTAAAATACTTTTTAAGACCACCATACTCAAAATTCCTAATTCTACACATCCACGAGCCATTGCTGGACTCTCCAATAAAATAAAAATACACATAACAAATCATCCAAAAAGTGTTCTCCAAACTTCACTCAAAAATCTCATTTCAATCAAAACAACATCATTATTATCATCATCATCAGTCATCATATTCATTGTATAGTAAATAGCTTCTTATTAAAGAGAAGAGATAAAATGTGTGGCACATCAAAAAATAGAAAAAAAAAGTTCTTTCATCATAAGTGGGTCATTTATGATAAATTATAATCGATGTTACATTAATTCAATGGCTATTGAATCAACTATAGGATTATACAAGCAGAGAGATTAATGGATATAACCAAAAAAATCAGTTTGTTTGTCGATTGAATAACATACAGACACACTTAAAATACCCACATTTTCGCTTAGATTAAAATCTATCATGCTGACCCGTTTGGGACGTTCTTTCTTTTCTTTTCGATGTTAACGGTTCCACATCTCATCTAGATTGGCTCTTTAGACACTTTGCTTTTCATTTCTGTTTTGCTTCATTCATGTCCATGTCAAACCGTCTTCACAAATATTTTGTTTTCCTTCTCTACTTGCTGCTCGCATTCTTCATGACTTTTCATTATCTCAAGTATGAGATCATAAATGTGTATCACACTATGCACAATTGTATCAACAAGAAGAGAATACACATAAAATATGCTTAAGAATGTGAGGAGTTTAGAGACGGGTTTAGTGAACTTTTTGTGTTATGCAATGTAGTTATGTTTGAGAATTTTCTGGAATATTTAAGCGTATCGTTTAAGATAGGTTTGTTGTTGAGGAGTAAGCGGACGTTTTTGTTGAATTTTCAAAGATTCTGTACTGAGTGGCTGTGACCATTTGTAATGTCATAATTTCTAATCGTCTGAGCCTGAGTAACACAAAGGAACACATGTTAGATCAGATTGAACTTAAAAAACGATGAA